TTGGCTTAGCTACCTATATAGGGTTGAGGGTTTATGGTTTTCTTATAGCGTTTTGGTTTCGGGGTTTGTAGCCAACCTGTTGTGATGTTTACCTTGTTCAGGGTCTAGGTCGCTGTGGGTATACCTTGATTCACATTGATTAAGGTCCCTTTCAAGATGTAGGAAGATTCCTTAATTAAAGGGTCTGGCCGGACCAGTCAGGATTTGGAGTAGATACCCTGGGGATCCAAGTATACAAATAATACCTACATTGGGCCCTAAAGTCTGTAAATATTACCTACATTGCTCTATTTGGATCCTTAGGGATAGGCAGGGCAAGTAAAGCTTTGATGGATTCTAGGATCCAAAAAGTTCAAGTACCTGGATTGGCCCCTAAAACCGTTTGAAAAATATTAGTATATAGGGTCCCTTATTAAAGCCATTAGGGAAAATGGGGCCTACCCAGGTACAATCCATTTTGCGTATCGCCTCACCGGTCGAAACAACCCTAAGTAGGTGATTTTCATGGGAGACCCAATGTAGGTATCATTCCAATGTTGGGTCAAGGTTCTAAGTGAATCCCATCCAGACCGGTCCCCTGGACTTTCGCGGCGGCTCAATCGCACTGGCTTCTTACCAAAGATTTCATGAGCGAGCAGTCAGGGGCTTCCGAAACAAGAGCGGTACAGGATAGTTTTCTGGGTTGGCCCCTTAAACCCATTGAAGAATATTAGTATATAGGGTCCCTTATTAACGCCTTAAATATCACAGGGGCCTACCCAGTTTTGGGCGGTCTTCCTTCGAAGTTGTTCGGGCCTTGGCTAGTTTGAAGTTGGTCTGCGGTTCCGCAGGGACACGATTCAACTAATGAATTGCTCAACCGCAGAGCCCAGAGTTCCTTTGAGTGTGGGTTTCGGACCTGCAAAGACTGGACGTTGGGAGATTCAACCGCGTCCACTGAAGGGTCGCCGATCACAGCGGCGACACGCCGGTATCACTGAGGGGGTTGACGATTGCAGCCACAGTTCGGATGGCGCACCACGCGGGAGCACAATGTTGAAACGAGGCGACGGCTTCTGCCAGCTGTCCCCAGTCTTTTCAACATATGAACTTATTTACAACCACAACCTCGCGCTTCACTCACATCATCATGCCATGAACCTCACATCCCATCCAATAACTCACGGCAAAAGAACCTCATCACATCATCCCATAAAAACACACACACACACAAAAATCCACGCAAAAGCCTTTCACCGCGCTTTTCGGGAATGAGTCACGAAAGCCCCTAAAATCCCACCATCTCCTGACCTTTGCCTGAATTGACAAGAACACGCCACGGCAGTGAACAAATGCTCCCATTTGAAATTCAGTGTTTAACGTTAAATATTCCGTAGAGGAGACCCTACGTATTGAGGGGCTTTCCTAAAGTTACGGGTCGACAGGTGCTAGATGTTAGTACAAAAGTGGTTCAATAACCCTAAACCCTGAACCCTAAACCCCTAAACCCCTAAACCCCTGAACCCTAAACTCCTGAACCCCAAACCCCTAAACCCTGAACCTTGGGTAGAGCCCCCACCCAGTAACAGTCTATATTTGGGGCCCTATCAAGGGCTATATATAACTATATAACCGTTTTAGAATTATTATCCAACTGTTACTGAGGGGGGGCAGTACCCAACCTAAACCCCTAAACCCAAAAACTCCTCTGGCCACGCTGCCATGGGGGCACAGCGGCCAATAGCTCTGAAGCCTACACAGTGGTGGGTTTAGGTCGGTCTGGTGCTCAAACTGTAGGTTCTCAATAGTATGCATGTGGGATAACGTCCCCAGCATCCAGAAGAAGCTGTTGATTTTGAGAAATCGCCTCGATGTAGTTTTTTGACGGGTTTCCCCTCCATGGCTTCGTTGCTTGGTGTGACAACGCTTGTATTGGCTTTTGGCCATCAGTAGCTAGCTGAAGGGCGTATTGGATATCGGAGGCGGTGTTTGCTGCATACTGATTTGAACCCTACAGTAGACCCCCCTACCCGCCCCCCACCCAATCCTTTTGATGCTTGTCGACAGCCCACCCTGAACCACGCGCCCGGCAGTCGGACTCTGCTATGTGCGTTGGCATTGAACCCAACCATGCCGTAGACAAAGGTTAAACTTTTCAGCCAAGCATAGCACTCTTAAAATCCTGGACTCTCAGCACACCCAGAAGCCTGGGGCGAGTGGGGGCAAGTGGGACGGACGCCTTTAATGTTACCCCCCAGCTGTCGCAATGCAAACCTAAAACCCTAAACCCCTGTGGCCTCTTCGCGGCCCAAAGTGGATAGGATTGCCTCGGCAGCCGCTGGCGCTGGCGTTGCTGCAAGAGCCTTGGGGTGTAGGGTTTAAAGGGTTTTGGAATTTTAGGGTTTAAAGGGTTTAGGGTTTAAAGGGTTTAGTAGGGTTAAAAAAGGTTTTGGGGTTTAGGGCTTGGGGTGGGGGACGCCAGGATGCCTTGAAAGTAAGGATTAATTAGGGTTTGGAGCACGGTCCCTTCAGGGACTGTATGGGGTTTAGCTGGTTATACCGACCTGTTAATTAGGGGCAAGTACTGCTTAAAATCAAAAAAGGAAGAGGGATGCATCGGCTCCTATTGAATCCACAAGGGCTTGCTCGGTCTAGCTTTCAAGAGAACAGCAAGAGCAGGGTCCTCAGCCATTACGTGAAACAGCCTGGTCTTGAAAACCTAATAAGAGCAATTGCAATCTCATTAAATTCGTAGAACATCTTTTTTTTTACTCAACTTAAAAAGGAGTTGATCAACACTTTCCCTCGAATTTTTCCGGCCGGAAAAACTTTACTTTATTGGGACCCCCCAAATCGAACAGGGGTCCAGAATAATTCTCAAAAAACTTTACTTTATCGGGGACCCCAAACCTAGGGATTCATGTCCTCCCATCTCCCGTGAATCCCACCACTTCAGGATGACACCTGAAGCCAGGGTCCAAGTACCGAGTCGCCCTAGCTCAAAACCTATATACAATAACCGGATCGGAGGTTTGGGGCTTAGGGGATGACACTTATCATTACCCCATCTACCCAGAACCCCAAACATAACTCTCTAAGGCTGGTACTTTGGCATCCTTGACTTTTTCTCAGATGAGCTGTAGTCTAAACTCCTACTATCCCCCTTAATACTCCCTATAGTAGTCCCCTACATAATCCCTATATAACCCCTTTTAAGGAGTTTAGACTATAGCTTAGATGCAAATTCACCCTGGTAGGTTGTAGAGGCTTGGGTTGCGAATCCGAGCTTCAGCCGAGGCGGTTTAAGGGTTAAGGGTTTAAGGGTTTAAGGTTTAAGGGTTTAGGGTTTAGGATTAAACCTAACCCCAAACAAAGACAATCATGAGAACGCCGCAGGCTCCCATGTTAATGCCGGATATTACGAAGTTACGGCTTGCTTCTGGCTCTGATTGAAACGAAGAAACCAGAGATGTACTGGGTTGCTGTTAAAGAACTTAATTTAAGTTACTATATTGGGGAAACCCTGTTATTTACTAGATACATATATATATATATATACGCTTTACAGTGACCTAGTTCAAGTTCCTTTAGCAGCAACCCAGTGTAAGGGGTGCCCACGGCAAGGCTCTACGAGTTGGGCTTTGATCAGAGGCTGAGCTCGATATTGTTGAGGTCTGTTCGATTCGAGGCATCTTGAATCATCATCTTGCAACTATAACCAACTATATACATGCAGCTCCCAACTCCCAAACGTCTCCGAAATCAGAACATCCTGAGGTTTTCTTTGATATTGCACATCTGTGATCCCACTTGTGAAGAAGGACTAACAGGGAAAAGGAGATGCACAAGTGGGTTTTACGAACGTCTGGCGCTGCGAAACCATCAACGTACTGCAGAAACAAAATACAACTTGATGTGGCTGCTGATTAGGCTCCTTGAAAAACATCAACCTCGACATGAATCTGCAACAAAAGCTAAAGCTTGGAAGGTGACATATGTGCAGCGGTCAATATTTCCTATTCATGGGACTTGTGAAGAAATCTCATCTGCCATCTTCATCTGAGCTGTGCTTTTTGTTCTTTCTTGATTTTCTTGGAAATAACAACCCTTCCGCCCGCGAGCTTCCGCGGAGCTTCCGCGAAGACTGGTTTCCTCTTGGTCGGCACCACAAAACATCGTGCTTCCACTGACCCTTCCACAATGCTTTCTTGGCAGGTGCTTCCGCGATGCTTCCGCGAACAGCGCTTCAAGGCTTACGTAGGGTCGCCAGGATCTTCCGCAAGCATCATGCTTCCGCAAAACCTTCCGCATGCTTCACGCGCACAGCGAGAAGCACATTTCGGAAACCATCCCGAGAGATCCCAGGAGTTATTGCCGCATTTAAGTATCGGTAGACAAGTGCACAAAAAAACGTTGCTCATTTGTCATCAGTGAAGGGAGCGCATGAAAACCTGAGCATTCCCTGAACCAGGCTTGCAGGCAGTTGCCACTTGCCTCTCACGATTGAAGCATCAAAAAGACATTCCGCGAGGGGTCCACGTGCCTGATCCTTATATGTTCCCCAAAACCTGTTCTACAACTACAAGTAAAGCCAAATCTGAAACAGCAAACTATTGGACACCTAGCATGCTGACAAAAGCTTTGTTTACGGGCTACTGAAGAATGAGGGTTTTCAGGCATGAAAAGTGATCGAAGGTCATACACGCGCACGTTGGCAGGCGTTCGCATGCTTGAAATATCAGGCGAGTTCTCGATGTGCACATGTGAGCTGCCACAACCCATATACGTCTCAGTGCCGGCTGCATTGCTGCATGTGCATTTTCCCCTCGCATCCAGCTGAGTTGCATGTGGTGCTTGCTGTTACAGCACTTTTCATGAATTAGGCCTGCGCTATTCAAATTATGATGGCTGATTTGGAGCCCTCTTCTGAGCTATATAACCCTGAACGAAACGGTTTGCATACAAGCCATGAGAAATTAAGGCTTCCAAATCAGTCTCGGATGAAGGTGCCAGGCAGGACATCATTGACGCCGGCGGCCTTTGTCGTCTTTCTGCCCGTCCTGATTCATGGCCACGCGGTTCATCACGGCATGAAGCATACCGCTCTGCTCAAGAGCCCGCAGCCGGCTGGAGAGTTGGTCGTGAGAGCATGTCAAGATCTGCGGCGTATGACGAAGAATGGCCTGGGTCGCTGTTTTGTCGAACCGTCCAACCTGCTGAAAGGATCCCTGTAGGTTGCGTTTTCTGAGAACACGAACTATTGAAAGCTTAAAGAGCTACAGTCTAAACTCCTAATATCCCCTTTCATGACCCCTATACTCGTCCCCTACATGAACCCTCATATAACCTTAAACCCCTAAAGCCTGAACTCTTTAAGGAGTTTAGACTACAGCTCTAAAAGGTTTCAAACAAAACCAAGGGTCGGCCACTTCCTCGGCTCATGGGAACTCTCAACTTGCTGCTTCGACCCAGGGTTTAGGGGGCGGACTCAGAAAGCCTGTTGGAAAAAAGGGTGAAACGCTGGATTGCTGTTAAAGAGCTTATCGTGAGTTAATATATTGGGGGAAATCTCTGCTGTTTATGATACACACATTAAGGTAACTTAATTCAAGTTCCTTAACAGCAGCCCAGTTAACGTTCTTCCCGAGACGATTACTCTTTCAAACACGCATCTGAGCAACTTACACAAGCCGGATATTCAAAACATCTGAAACCCAAACTCATTGGATCTTCCGTGCGAACAGTGGCCAAAAACACGCAACTCTGATTTTTTAATCGCGTATACCATATGTCTTTCTCTTTTTATGGTTCCCAACTTCGCGGGCCCAGAAAGTGCTTCGGGCATTCCACAGTGCCTCATACGCCGCCTGAAGATGTGTTTATCCCAACCGCCCTGAACACATACCAGAACTATAAACCTGGACGAACCGCTGCATACGATACACAAGTCACCATAGTTTGATTGATGCGCATGCGAGTGCAACAGCGAAACGGCGTGATTTTGAAAGCCCGGGCCGGGAACGTCAAAGTGAAACTCCCAGGGCTGGGAGGCACGGTAAGCCATGAACCTCAACCAATACTGTGCTCCAGTTGATCTGAGAAATCTTGAGGAAATCACATTTCGTACCGCTCTCAGATGAGCTATAGTCTAAACTCCTAGTATCCCCCTTAATAAGCCCTATAGTAGTCCCTTATATAATCCCCTATATAAGCCCCCTTTCGTTTAGGATATGGCTCAGATGCCTCTACCAAGCATTTAGCCGCTTAGCCACTCCTGGTTTCAGGGATTCAAACCTGCCCAGCAACCTCATGACCACCAGGACCCTCCTTGTACCCAATTGGGGATATATGGTCCCTAATAGTAGGTACTTAGGCCCTAATAGAGGGTAGGAGGAGGGTCTAGGCATTCAGTTTTTGTGGAGCCGGCAATATTTCAGAACTAATCCAAAGCTAATAAACCAGCAGGAAGTCTGAGTCACTGCGCCATTGGTCACCTCTCACCCTGACCCCTAAGTTCTTCAGTTGTGCGTGCGCCGGGGAAGTTCACAAGCCAATAGACTCCAAATGAGTTGTTACTGAATGTTGAAAGACTCCCTGGTGCTTAGGAGGGAATGGGGGAATGGATCATGGGGATTATTATTGTGATTATATAGGGACTACTATAAGGATCCATTTCCCCATTCCCTACTAAGCACCAGCGAGAACACCTTAGGACTTGCATATCATCAACTTTACGGCAACTTTGGGGCTCGGAGTATTTCTGGACTTATAGTGCTCCTTAAGTAGATAGACTATGGCTTCGGGTGTATTATCATAAGATCCCCATATACCCTATGTTTTATCTACTTAAGGGGACTGCACTCGCGCAGTGATATAAATACTGGCGAAAAACCTTGTTTTAACACTCTAGTGCACAGAGCATGTGTTGTTCTGAAGGCTTCGAACCCCAGGGTGCGGTCAAGTACAGAATGTATACGCAAGGACCTAAAACAATTATAGCACGGTTTTCACTTCGATTTGAAGGACCCTAAACTATGTTTTGCAATAAATCTAGAACCAGAATGTTGACAATGAAGTAGGCCCCCATAGTCATCTGATAATCTGGCTCCCCAAGCCAGACCAGGACAAGGTTTAGGGTTTAGGCCTCCATGCGTTGAATTTTTCGGTGTGTCCCGGGGATCCAATTCGGCCGAACTAGTGCAATTTGTGATCGTAAACGTTTTGTTGTTAAGGGCTTTAGATTGAAGGGTCGTTTTTTATAGGGCGCACACTAGGTGTTTTTTCGTAGACTTCGATCTCCAGGGTATGCTTGGGCAGCTATGGAATTGCGCATGCTGGTGCCAGCGAAATGCTTGCTTGCCCTGACAAGTTGTTTTACAGTTGGGCCACGATACTTGCGTTGCTAACTAATCCTGAACTCTTGTAATTATCAAAATCCCTAAAACCCGATCGATGGGCACATGGCCTATAGTCTGAACTCGTACTATCCCCCTTAACAACCCCCATAATACCATATAATCCCCTATATAACCCCCTTTAAGGAGTTCAGACTACAGCTCATATGGACCCTAAAAAGGGCTCTAAAACCACCTCTAAGTGTCCGCTTTAGTGTAGTGCCGAAGCAGGAGGTTCTTCTTGAGGAGAAGGTTGTTGTTGCTATTCCTTGGTTGTTGTATAGTCCCCCTTAAGTAGATAGACAGATGGGGCATATGGGGATGTTATGATAATATACCCAAAGCAATATTCTATCTACTTAAGGTGGACTATGGGGTTTAGGGTGCCCCGGTGTAGGGATTCTTTGGGGCTGTGGTTTGGGGATGGCTTTAGGCTTGGACGCGCAAACAGAGCCTCAGTAGGGCTCTAAGGCCTAGCTTTAGAACCCCGGTGGCCAAGGCTTGCTCTAAGCCCCTTGAATTAAAATGCCTCAGGTTTGGGACCTTAGAGCTGATGCGGTGGTCGGGCGGGACAAAAACACAACAAGATTTAAGAACAGTAGCAGTCCCAGTGTCAGCCCTTGTATGGAAGCATGATTTGAACACAGTAGCCGGTACCCTATGCCACCTTCAAGCCTCTGCATACCTTCTACGTAATCTTCTTGTACCAGCCTGCGCAACCTTGCCCTCTCTGAAACGTAGAGGGACACGCGCTGAGATTGAGGACTGGACCCTAATACGAAGAGCCCCTGGCCAAAACCAAACTGCTCGAACACTGCCCCAAAATCTCACTATCCACTTTGTTTTGCTTTGCTGCGGGCTGAGCCTGCCCCTTACGGGCAGGCCATGGCACTGCCCGAGCCCTGACTTGTTGAGGTACTGCGGTCGGCCCCAGCGAATACTTAGATCACACATTCAAGCATGAAGCATCTCACTATCCATTTCTCCCTGTCTTTCTTCTTCTTCTCCTCACAGCTTTGCTCCCATGGTGAGGGGGCACCAGCCTCGAGCTGTGTGTCTGCTGTCACGAAGTCGGGACCACTTCTCTCGCTCTCTGTCTCTTTATTTCTCCTCCTTTTCCTCTGCTTCATGATGCGCGCAAGAGATCTGTCAGACTTTTCTACCCACATGTCAAACCCTGTTCGAGACATAAAGCAACGTGTGTGCCCATGGTCGCATGAACCTCCACCATGCAGTATTCGCTTGCTCGCCGGCACTCTCTCTTGTTCTGGGTCTGGGTAAAGAGAACCCTTGCGGTCTGTCTCTCTGTCTCTGTGGCTACCCTCCCCCTCCCTGTCGCGCTCTTGCAGGCAACCTCTTCGCAATTATTCTCAGCGAACAAAAAAAAACGCGAGGAAAAAAAAAAACTCTTTCCTCGCATCCTAATTAGGGGGGCATACAGGCGGTCTGCACTGCACATGCCATAGCCTCTTACATCCCTCAAACTGTAAGCCTGGATGAACGTGGGGTCACCAGGAATGTGCTACGTTTTTGTGATATGAGCTAGTCTTAAAGGCTCACAAGACTCAAGACCTGAAAGGTAGTTGGCGATTTCTCGAAACAGGGGCACTATGCGACAATCCAAATATGGTGATTGCAAGTTGTAAGGCCATGTCTTCCTTATTCAGGATTCTGTAGGGGTCCCTAAACCTTAAACCCTAAACCCTAAACCCTATAACCCTAAACCCTAAACCCTATAACCCTATACCCTAAACCCTA